AACCTAAGTAGCCATACTCTCACAGAACCAGAGAAATCACTGCTTTCTAAAGGTCTAAATTTTGCAGTATCGCCCAACAAGATTCCCAGCATTGACATTGTCACAGAAACCCGAGTCAGCAATTCATCGGGCACGTTTACCACAGAGACAAGCTGAAGCCTTGCGCACCAAAGTAGCTATCACCCTGAAAGTCTCCAAACCCCCTGCTAGTAACATCACACGGGAAGAACGTACCGCTCTCAAAGATTTGGCCACCAATCAAGACATATTGATTCTTCCTGCAGACAAGGGAGTTCTGGATCGCCCCACCTACCTAAAACTCAATCCCACAACGGAACAACCCCCTGCTTTCTACGGCCTTCCCAAAATCCACAAAGTGTCCCTCTACGACCCATAGTCTCCAGTATAGGCTCTGTCACCTATGAGTTAGCAGGTTTTCTAGCCAAGATTTTGGGACCACTAGTGGGGAAATCTCAGCACCATGTACAGAATAGTGCCGACTTTGTCAACAAAATCAAAGACATTCATGTAGAGGATGATGAGACCATCACTTCGTATGACGTGTGCTCACTTTTCACCTCCATACCACCTAAGGAAGCAGTGTCAGTAGTCAGGGAAGCCTTGGAAGCCGACGATACACTTGCAGATAGAACCAACCTATCCGTTGACCAAGTTTGTGAGCTACTAGAACTCTGCTTAGGATGCACATACTTTACCTACAAAGGACAGTTCTACCAACAAATGCACGGCTGTGCTATGGGATCACCAGTTTCACCAATTGTTGTAAACCTGTACATGGAGAAGTTTGAAAACAAAGCCCTCAGCACTTTCAATGACACTCCCCCGGCCAACTGGTTTCGATATGTAGATGACACTTGGTGCAGATTGAAAAAGAGGGTAGCTGCTGATTTCTTTGACCACATCAACCAGATAGATGACAACATCAAGTTCACACAGGAGCCAAGCCATGACAACATGCTCCCCTTCCTAGACACCAAAACTATCGTAGAGGAAGATGGTAACCTTCGTTTCGAAGTGTACAGGAAACCAACCCACACTGATCAGTACCTGGCCTTTGATTCCCACCACCCCTTGGAACACAAACTAGCAGTGATCAAAACTCTCTTCCATCGTGCAGACAACATTATCACTTCAGACCAAGCCAAAACGGACGAGCATAGACACCTCCGAGGTGCCCTGGCTAAATGTGGCTACCAAAACTGGACTTTCAACAAAGCTCTCAAACCTTCAGATCAGTCTAAGAAAACCCAGAAGTGCAAACCATTGACCAACAAAAACAAGGCCAACATCACTATTCCGTATGTCCAAGGAGTATCTGAGAAACTCCGACGGATCTTCCAAACTTCAACATAGCCACTAATTTCAAACCTCACTCAACCCTCAGACAAAGACTGGTACACCCTAAGGACCGACCTCACAAAGGTACCAAGGCGAATGTTATTTACAGACTCAAATGTGAGGAGCCCAATTGTAACAACACCTACATCGGAGAGACAAGTCGACCGCTCAAAGTAAGATACAAAGAACATTGCCGACCTAGTGCCAACGGCTACTCCTCGGCTATTTTCCACCACCTACAACACAACCAGGGTCACTCTTTCAAACTCGAGTCCACGGATATCTTAGACCGCGAAACACGCTGGTGGGAACGGGGTGTTAAAGAGGCAATATATGAAAGAATGTACAACCCCACCCTCAACAGGGAAGGGGGGCTACGGGTCGATCTTTCCGGTACTTGGGACTTGGCACTCCCAGACCCGAGAACAGACAACACTTAAGCTCCTGTTCTGTATAACAGGAGCTTTCAGACTAATTTGCATCATCTTGTCTTGACTTGTCTGACTTTTGTTCCTTTTTCGATTTCCAAAAGTTTGTCTTCACTTTATTTGCATATCAATCAATAGGTTGTGCTTATAAACCTGTTTTCCCCTCTGGTCTCTCAGTCACTGACGAAAGCTAGTGGATACTAGCTGAAACGTCTGACGTTTTCAAAATCATATCCAGTTGCTTGAGTAACTGCTTTTTGGCGTATCGTATTACCTGGATGTCTAATCTTCATCGACGTAAATACATGGTTTATTATATTTTTGCAACATGTATGCCAGAGTGATATGCCAGAGAAACAACAAAAAATTACAAACTCCCCCCCCCCGCCCATGAACTCCAGAGGCTGCTACAGAGGCTAATAAATAAGTTTATGAAGTTTAGTAAGTTTTTTTTTTTACATACCACATGTTGTAGGATGCTGGACGTTTGGCACGTACATCGGATTTGGATTGAGTGCATGCAGGACATCATTGGCGTCATTGATGCTGTTAGAAGCCGCCGCTGGTTGATTCTGGGAGGACAGGCTTGCTTGAGTGTCTCCTGAAGTTGTGTTCCGCCCCACGTCACCCTGGCACATGTCTGCGGCAGCGTACATCGGATTCGGATCGAGTGCATGCAGGACATCATTGCTCGACGGGCTGGTCGAGACATCATTGATGCTGTTTGAAGCCGCCTTTGGTTGATTCTGATTCTGGGACAGGCTTGTTTTAGCGTCCCTTGAAGTTTTGTCGCACTCGTACATGTCGCACTCGTACATGTATGCGGCAGCGTACGGTTGAATATCCTCATCATCAGATGTGATACTGGCTGTATGTCTGTTTTTAGACGCAGCACCACGCGTTGTCTGTAGGGTAATGCCACTATCGTCATCTTTCTGGCTGTTGTCACAGTCGACCGGACCGAGGGAGGGCCCCTCCTCTTCTCCGTGTTTAACTGCATCAGGTTTGCTGCAGGGATTGTCCTCATTGTATTCTGGCATTACGATTGAGGCTGCCTGGACATCTTGCTGGAGGGTTACAGCATACGGCTGAAGACAGGGGTTGCCATCGTTGTCAGATGGCCCGAAGGCGGCTTCGTCACCTTGCTGATGTGTATCAGTTGGTGATTGGTTGCAGGGCAAGCCAGTGCCCTTGTTTGGGTCGATTGACTCCGTGTTGCTTTGCCGGTACATCGGACTGGGGTTAACGTCGTTCACGGCGTGCATCGGATAAGTGTTCGTTGTGTTATGTGTGTACATCGGGTTTGGATCCATGGCTTGCATGTTACTATAATTAATTTATTAGTAATTAGTTATTTGATTACTTAGTAGTTACTAGTAAGTAAGTTTTTAGGAGCTTAACAAACAATCTTTATACTGAATCCTGCCTGACTGTACATGTGGCTACTGAACCAAAACCTTAACATTTGTAACGTGCAGACAAAATCATTTCTATGCAGATGAAGCAGCCCACGAGTCATCTTCTGAAACCAGACAAATCATGTCAGCGCTAAGATTAAAAGTAAGTACATGTGCTTCGTCAAAACTGGGGTTGTAGCTGACATGTTGGTGTGACTTAAAGATGTTTTGCCAATTCACCACATATGATATGCTATGCTACATGTTTCTTGACTAATATGATGTCATAAATGGTCAGTTTTGTCTTACTGGTGGAAATATAGGGTTGTCTAAACAGTTACTTATTGAACATTGCCTTGTTGAGCATAGTTTGATCATTTGTTTCTGGTATTACAAAAGATAAAGCTACTTATTCTGTACAATATGTGCAGTTCAATATGTGCAGTTCAAGAAACGTAGAACAGAATCTACCTGGTACATACTCAACAATGTTCTACTGCAGATTGTTAAAAAAAAGGAAAATCTTCAAAATTAGGTACAATATTAGGTTCCCTTCAAGAAAAGTAAAACAAAATCTACATCGTACATACTCAACAATGTTCTACTGCAGATAGTTAAAAAAGAAATTCCTCAAAATTATGACAATCACTATCTCTAAGTGCTCTGTGGTGTAAGACCGTCACATGTGCATAATACATTTCTGTTATGATGTGAAGAACAAGGATTAAGACATTTTGTACTCACGAGGAGACTTCTGTAGACGGTTTGCAGGATAAAACTGACCTCAGCGTCACAATTATATTCTTTCTCAATACCGGCAGCTGATATGTGTGTGGGCGACCATACATTGAATAAACATATCAAGGTTCTTAACATTCTACTCTATGGGATAATGGGCACATTCTGTTGGTCAAATTGCGACGGCAATATGTTATAGGAATTGAATGAAAAAGGGATCATTTTAAGAAGTGATTTCTTTTTAAAGAATTCAAGAAATCTGGCCATGGATTTAGACTTCCTCGTGGCGTTAAGTTGACCCTCCCCTGGCAGAAAGTATGTGGACTTGCCCAAGTTATTCTTATGTAGACGTGGGCGTAGACTTGGGAATTGGTAGGCTGTACATGTATGATGTACACGATTGTCATTTAAGAGCTGGTAGACTGTGCGCCACCACAAAACAGAATGTAAACAAAAATGACCGACAGCTGTATTTTCAAATTCTAAACACTCTTGAGTTAAGATGTCATATTTTGGCCCCTCCACTTCCTGATTGGCACTTATTTGCGATTGGATAGGCTTGATTCAACCTAATTTGTAAAGAAATGACCAGAAAATCTACAATTTGTATCATCGTAATGTTACGCAATGCAGCTACAATTTGTATCATCGTAATGTTACGCAATGCAGCTTTAACCCTCAACAGAACACCTTCCCGGACTGATTAATCTGTACACCTGGGGTCCGCGCGGACCCCAGAACAGTTTTTTGCTAATTTTTAGAAATTATCAACATACTACCAGCTCAATTGTTTTGCAAACTGATGTGGGAACCTCTGTGTCCACATTACATACAAAAATCATACATTTTGAACTTTTTCTATTTTTTGGTGAAGAAAAGAAAACAAGAAGAAATACCCGATTTTTAAACCCATTTCAGACTGAAGGGGCTTTTGAGGCCCAACTTTGATCTCAGATAGCTGCTAAACGGCTTGTGCTAGAAGTATCAAATTTGGAGACCTTTCCTAAAATGTCTCTGGAAAAAAGTTCATATCAGTTTAATACTAGTAAGTTGATGTTTTTTTGTGTTGCCATGGCAACGGGTTTCTAGCAGGCATTTTTTTTTAAATAGAAGTAATTTTGGTTTAAACATAAAAATTTTCTGAGTTTTATATTAAATTACACTTCTTTTCCAACATTGATAACATCTTACATAATTAAATATAAGTTAAATCATTTAATATGCATAGAATATGCTAATTTGATGACGTCATTGTTCAAAATCCAATATGGCGGACTATATTATTAGCTCTGACGTCATATGACGTCATAATTACACCAAAGTTATTAAAATTTAATTCTATTACTACACCATTCTCTGAAAACTTGGTAGACATACGATGAGTGCATAAAAACATATAAAAACGGAAATAAGATATTGTATAAGAACGCCAGTGTATCCATTATAATCGAAAGCCGGCTGGGGTCCGCGCGGACCCCAAAAGAAAATCAGATATAATTTTTTAAATAAATGGTAGAAACGGAGTTTTCTGCATTGTATTGAGAGACAACTTTGTGGGTGACAATTACCTAAAATTTCAGAAAAAAATCTTTAGAAACAAAAAAGATATTACAGAATATATAGTGCTGGGGTCCGCGCGGACACCAGGTGTACTGTTTAGGGTTAAAGGAACACCATGTGGCCTGGAAAAATAGAGACATTTGGGCCACCCCTACGGCAACGTGGACTAGTCACAACCACATCCCCATCCGGTCCTATTGTGATACCCCACGGAGGTTCGGTAACGTTCCCGATAGTGCGGACAAACTCTCTCGAGCGCCCAAACATGTCTACCCGGTTGTTACCACTGTTAGCCACGATGATGCGACCAGAGGCACCCAAACAAATACCAATGGGGATATTCAGTTGACCCATGTTTCTTCCAAAAGTTCCAAATTGAAATATCTCTTCCCCGGATGTATTGTACACCATGATGATTTTAAACCCATCAGTAAGTAGAATATTTCCCTCCCTGTCCGAAGTGACACCCATAGTAATTGGTGCTTTAGTGTTTATACTCCGATAGAGTATACTCCGATAGAGAGTCCCGTTTGGATGAAACAACCTTATTGTATCTCTGTCCATCACGATAACTTTATTGTTGCGCGTGTCCATGGCAATGACGGGATATTGATGCTGATTTCGGTCCACGAAGCGTACGTCGAACTTCTTTCTGGGCCGGCCGTTCCTACTGTACAGTACGACATGCGCGTTATCTTGAGCGGGTGTAGGAATCCCCAGAACCCATAGATATTCAGGGTTCACGTCAGAAGCAACACTAGAAGTGTACATTCGCAGTCTGCTAGACTCACCCGGCACGACTGTTGGAAAGAGGCGGAGATAGGTCCCGTTTAAGCTGAAGACTTGGACTCGGTTGTTGAAGTAGTCAGTCACAAATATTTCATTGTCAGCAGACACGGCAACTCCGTAGTTATTCCTAAATTCCCCGGGTTTGTTTCCGCGCTTACATGTACCAATGGTGATCTCCAACTTTCTGCCAGCGATTTCTGCAATAAGAAATAAAAATCGTACCTTAAGTATTCACATTTCGGAACACTTATTATCAACACAATATAGCCACATTTATCGAAAAGAGCATTGGTTCTTCCCGCTGTGAGTGGTTCAAATCTTACAGTCTGGTCACAGGGTTGACATGTCGAAAAGGTGCTATAGTCAGCTATTCTAAATTAAAACTTTTGATCCAACACAAAGACGCTCTCTCACCTAGAGCTTTCGACCAGTCGCTCCGGTCTTCCTCAGTAGACTGACCCAGTGAGGCTTGTCACGTGGCTTCTTTGAAGTGTGAGGTCAACACTGGGTCAAAGGTATCTGATAATCTACTGATGAGGAAGACCAGAGTGACTGGTCAAAAGCTCAAGGTGAGGGAATGTCTTTGTGTTGGACCAAAAGTTTTAACCTTAAACATGTAACTTTCAACACAGGCGATCTGGTAAATAGCAATAAGATAGTAATACCTTGTGAGCTTTGGGTTCTTGCCGGCGGTGTGGGTGCACCTGCAGTCATGGAAGTCTCAGCAGAAGTGCAGCATCCAGAGAAACCAGTTGCTGAGATTTTCTCCACAGTCTGCTTTGACTGTAGATTGGAAAATGTCTTTGGTTATCAACTCGTTGATTGCATGAAACATTGCCCTAAGAAAATGTTTGCCACAAGCACAAAATAATCATTTTCTGTGCCGGTTTTTCTCAAGCACCAGGAACCCACATGGCCCATGGGTGGCAAGATGGTATGGGTTGTTGACTCTAATCTAAAGGTTTTGGGTTCGAATCCTTATCATGCCCTAGGTGGAATCTAAAGGTTCTAGGTTCGAATCCTTAGCATACCCTTGGGAAACTCACTCAACTGCTCCTAAAATACTGATGCATTACATATCCATTTGATATACATGTACAAACATTGGAATAAACCTAGAAATCAACTTAGTGAATCAACTTGGAAATTGGGCTCGTCTAGCATACCGGCAGAGTGCTCGACTCGGAACCAAGAGGTCCCGGGTTCGAGTCCTGACATGCCCCCCGATCTTGTGCCCTTGGAAAGGCACTTTACACGACTTTCCTCACTTCGCTCAGGTGAAAATGAGTATTGTATTGTCCCGTGTTGGTGGCGGCATTAATGTAAGTTGAAAAAACTTGAGTGTGCCGTCACCACGTCTT